AACGCGTGCTCCGGGAAAGAAAACCCATTTGCGTACCCAAAAACAATCAAAGAAAACCAAGCCTAGAAAGTGAGTGTAGCGTCTCTACCATCCCAACCTAGGGGACTGGGGTGAGATGCTAGAGATTTTGCATTTTTTTAATAGACGGAACATCACCACCTTTTTCATACCCAGACAAGCACACTCTCGTATAAACTGTTTTCACATCCTTGGCACTTAAACCTTAGCATCAATACTCAAGAAATTTGTTTTTGATTTGATTTATTGCAGCAGTGATGTATAGCTATTTTACCATTCAATCAGTCTGATATTTCTTCCATTGATGTGTATCTGTACCGTGTTCATTCATCTCACTGATCTGGATTTAGGGATAATAACAGTGCTGTGTATGCCTGATTGAGTAGCATTATGCGGGCATAACATGCGCTGGAATTTTCACTCCCTTTATGGGAGATAACTGCATAGGTTAGTGTAAGACATTGCAAGTCACGTGAATGCTTTCTTCATTTATCGATCGAACCCAATTAAACTGATCGCATCTGCCATACTGGGTAAGAACCAATAGGAATACTCTTGCTGCAATCAGCCAATCACGAATCGAACGCAGACCTTGACCGATAGACAGAATTTGCGAATTTCGACGGCAGCCCACGTGCGTGGTCAGCCAATAAAAGTTGAATTCATATAGTCGCGACCAGCCCACGAGGTTTGAGAAGACAGATCGGAACGAAAACAGGTGGTCCGGTGTGAGGTAGCGCTAGCAACGGTCGCTTGAGATGTGATTTTGCTTGTGATACTTTTTGAAACAATTCAATTAAATCTGTGAAACAAACAAGTCATTTGATGATCTATAAACGGATTTTTTCTTCTTCGTTTTACTGGAATAAACTGCACCGCGATCAAGAAAGGGAATAACTTATTTTATCTTTCAGAATGGTGTGTGAACCCGCTATTATTGAGGTTCAACTCTCATGGGTCCCAGTTGACGCGAAGGGCACTCTTCCACCGAATGCAATCGAGGCTAAACCCGGAGTCTACATAATCCGAGCCTTTCACGAATCCGATTTAATCCCAGGCAAATGGAGTGGGACAACGCCGCATGCATTTGTGTCCTATGGATGTGGTGAAATCCAAGTTTCCAAATTTGAAGTGTTATGCAACACGTCCGTATTCCAGAATCGTCCACCGTGAGTTATAACAGATTGTGTGAACTTTTGTTGTTACTCCACAAATCGGTCCACATATGAATGGTTTATACCGATATGTTTAATTCATGGAAGAATATCAAACGACAAATAATATAGCAAACCAGTGTATTTTCGTAACCTCGTCTTCAGGCATTTAGAAATGTGTGTTTATACATAAGGTAGAAATAAATGTGATTTGCTTACAGAGTTTAAATATCAGAGAACTGCAATGTCTGTCAAGTTCAACAGGGACAAATAAAGAAAGATGGAAGTTAAGTCAATTCCGACAATTTCCGATCATCTTTCTCACATGCGACGTGTCACACCGTGTTGCGTCATCGCGACATGATTGATGTCCGGGTTCGGTCGGGTCGAGGCCAAAGTAACTGCAGTGCGGCAACTATTTTGCTCTGTCTGTGTAATGGTGGGTTTATGATTTAGCTTGCTAATGCTTCTGCCGTTGCCAAATGACGTTGTCGAACGTAGTTCGAAGCATTAGATCCCCTTGATCCGTTTCAACAATATAGAACGAAGACAAATGTCGCGAGATGGTAACATTTCGTTTAATCTCTTCAATCGCCGACTTCAAACAAACAAGCGTAAATATAACACTTGCGGTTGTTCACTTATGGTGAATGAAAGTGTACGAGCATACACAGATCACTTGGTTTGATGCACTTTGTTTTAAATTCACCTTCAGGCAGAATAAAAGCTATGGAGTACGTGTGACTGTTATTTTACCCCAACTCGCGGAAATCTTCCACTACGATCGTATGCTTTCGCCGAAGAAATCAGTTTTCTGACGGTTCTCAGCTCATAAAACGAAAAATCATTTAAGCGGTGAATTTCGCGGCATGCAAAGCTGTGCAAACGCGAACTGAAAATATCATATAACTAGCGTCGAGTTAGAGTAGCTCCAAATGAGTACAAATTCAGGTGAATGACCATGCGATGATCGGGGTGTAATGTTCACCCCACGCCTTCAAAGCTGGGTTGTGCTTTATCGTGCATAGGCAAACGTCGAATCCGTTTGGCAACCTGCGCTCTACATGTGATGTCCCGGATTTGATCCACGGTCGAGCTGATGGATTTACAGTGTGCTATGACCCAATCAAGTCGAAACAGGTACAAAAGCTTCTTGAAGTTTCAGTTTACGTTTCATTGACAAGCCGAAATCGTCTATCTGGTGGAACCAAGCATTCCACAGCTGTCATACACCAGATTATTTCAGTGCTGCTCATCGGAATTCAAAATTTGCAACCGAACCATGAGTAGCATTATATATTTATTTCCACACACACACACACACGTCTGAGAGCAGTCTTTTACCAAACAAATCATGGTGCAATAATGTTCATTAAAAGAAAATATACATGATGTGCTCGTGGGCGTGATATTCTTAGGTTTNTGAAATTTTTGGAAAACTCAACCGGAGCCTTTAGATTACCAAAGCCGACTCGCAAATTAGCGAGGCAGTGAGTAACAACCCCAATCCATTGGGGTCCGTTGTCCAGTTCATGGGATCATACGCCCTTTGGATGTGTTCAAACGTCCAAT